GGCGCCCGCCCGGCCGGGGGGGCCCGGGCCCGGCCGCGGCGCGGGAGCCACGGCACGGGACGGACCTAGGGACGGGACGGTTCTAGGAGCTGGGGCACCTCCCAGCTATAGGGGCCGAAATAACCCACCGCTATAGGGCAGAGGAGCTGGACCCGCTGGCTATAGGGCTGGGGCTGCCCTCCAGTTACAGCCATGTTCACCCCAGATACACTCCTGCGGTGGCTATAGGGGAGGGGACTGGGACCCCCTCAGGTTATAGGGGATGGGGCTGTACCTATAGGGGAGTGGGCTGCGATGCACTGGACTCTGGCTCCAGGAGAGGGGGCCAGGACCCCCACAGCTATAGGGACCAGGCACAGTTGGACCCTGTCTATGAGGGGGGACTGGGGCACCCCTTACATATACGTATAGGGGATGAGGTGCACCTGGACCTTGGCTATAGGGAGGGCCTCCAGTGGCTATAGGTGCAGCAGTGCAGCTTCACAACAGCTATAAGGGAGGGACTGGAAGTCCTCAGGGCCCAAACAGTTATAGGGGAGGGAGCCAGGACTYTGGYGCCATCGCTGTTSGTGGAGCAAGACACTTGTGGGTCARCCAGCAGGATACTGCATAGACASGTATGTCCTTCATAGACATGTATGTCCATCATAGACATATATGTCCTTTGTAGACATGTATGTCCTTCGCAGAGACATATGYCCTTCATAGACATGTATGTCCTTCGCAGATAGATATGGCCATCGCAAACATGTAGGTCCATTGTAGACATGTATGGCCAGTGTAGAATTGTATGTCCTTCATAGACACGTATGGCCATCGCAGATATGTATGGCCATCGCAGACACATATGTCCATTGTAGACATGTACAGCCATCATAGACACATATGTCCATCGTCATCCGTCCAAGGAGCAGAAATCCCCCCCATAGGAGGTCTGCRTGTCCAAAGGGGAAGCGCCCCTGGCACATCTTTCCATGGCTGCTCCGGGCCGTGTCTCGTGTCCCGCTCCGAGCGCTCGCTGTGCTGCTGCGGGCGAGATGAAAGAGCTGGGAGAGCCGYTCCCGCCGGAGCCCCCGGCCTGCAGCCCGGCGCTCCATCAGCCCCGCTTTGAGGAGCTAAATAGCGCCGAACCTCTGAGGCCTCGGGCTGCAAGGCAGGCTTGCGAGACTGCAAATTGTTTCTGAGAATCTTCCCTGAACCCTCGCCAATATTTTCTCTTTTTTTCTTCCCCCCCGCCAAATCCTTCCTCAGATGTTGCCGGGGATGACACACTTTGTAAGGAGGCTGACGTGTCCATGTACCTGCGCCCACCCGTGGGCCAAGGCCTCCTCCATGGGGTTATTCTGTAGTAGCGACTTCCATGGTGGCTTTTGCAGCTGCCCGGGGCAGATCTCAATTGCAAACGCCTCCATTGGAGGCAGCTGCAGGCAAAGCCCTGTCTGCTACCRAGCCGCACTGCCAGCCAGAGGGACACGTCGGCAGGACAGAGCCGCGAAGGCAGCACCCAAGGTCTGGGGACAAGCGACCCGCTCTGAGGAGCCACCATGACGCCCTCCTCTTGCTGCCCAACAAGGCCCTTGCAGCTTCCAGCGCGAGGAAGGCGACTCCGGGGGCCGCGGCCACGAGGTGGTGGCCACAAGGTGGCACCAGGTCCCCGAAGAAGGGCGGCCACTGAGCGCCCCGAGGGCAGCGAGGCTCCCTCGGGGGCACGGGAGCCCCGGGAGCCGCGGGAGCCCYGGCCCTGCTCTGCCTGGCCTGGCCAAGGAGGACCGGCCGCCTCCGCATTTGCTGCGCACACCCAGACCCCAGGGTGCCCCTGCCCCCGGGCACCCTCCACGCGGCGTTTCGGCCCCGAGCCCCTTTCTTTGGAGGGTGCAGCCGCTGAGAGCAGCCCCGGCTGAGACATGCGGGCCGCTCTGCAGATGTACTTGGGTTGCGATGAGGCCGTTGCCTCCGTGGCTTGGCCGGCATCTCCGTCCTGGCAAACAGAGCAGCCTCCTCAGCCTCGTAATCCTGGCAAACAGAGCAGCCTCCTCAGCCTCGTAGGCAGCCCCCAAGTCCCTGGCGAAGCCGCAGCGTGCCAGGCAACCACATCCTGCCCAGGAGAGCAGGATGCAGCACCTCCATCCCGCCTCCTCTCCGGCATCCCGAGTGCCACCCGGCGCCGCCAYGGCCCTGCCGGCAGCGAGGCCCAGCCTGACACGGAGAGGGAACCTGTGCACGGATAGGGAACGCTGGTCATTCCTGGGGCTGGGAAGCAGCAAGTGGGGGACATCTGGCTGGGAGGAGAGGGCACCAAGCAGGGCCTGTGGTTGGGCATGGAGAGAGGCTCGTGCCGAGCACCACAGCTATTAATACCCCTTTTCCCGGGATGCTTTGGCACGAGTTTTGGAGCCAAAGCCGAAGGGAGCTCTGGCCAGCGCAGCCTCCATGTGTCCCTTCCCTGCTCTGCTGTCCCCTCTTCTCGCTGCTGTCACTCTGCAGCATCACGGAGCATCATCTTCCCTCTGCCCTCAAGCTGTCACAGCGAGACAGGAGCGCAGAGGGAAACCGCCTCCATCTCTGGCCGTTGTCTGTCTGCATCAGCCCCCTCCTAAGCAATTCTCTGCCTGGGTTATCTAATGACTATCACAGAGCGTTTAAATGTCACTCCACTTAAGGGAGTAAGGCGTCCAGGGAGGAGGACTGAGGGAGACGGGGTGGGAGAAGCAGGAGCAAAACAGTATCGATTTCTAGCCAATTATCATTGTTATCAAAGCAGAACAATTAAAGCAAGAGGATTTTTTTTTTCCAGTTCTCTGCCTGCCTCTTCTAGGGCAGAAGCCGGTCTGCTGGCTTGGTTGTGTACACACAGCCATACGGACATGCACCCTTACACATGTGTCCATGGGCACACGCGTCCCTCCGCTCAGCCAGTCTGCTGGGGTTCTTCTCCCGATGGAGTCAGTCTTCCCAACTCCCTTCTCTGCCTTGTTTCCCTGTGCATCCTAGATGTGTCCCCATCTTGGGGACCCGCTGGCAAGGTCCAGGGGCTGTTGCCCAAGGAGGAGCCCGGGCCAGAGGAGCCTGGGCCATTTCTCATGCTCCCAGTGCCCTGTGAAGAGTTTTCTCTCCGTACTCCTATACTCCTTCCACCTCCTCCCCAGCATGCAAGGACTGGGTCCCATCCATGGGCTCTTCCAACATCCTTGCCTGATGAGTATTTGGTTTCTTAGGTTCTGGCAGGATGACCATTGGAGGTAACACAGCTCCACATCACACCGCTACAGCCCTTTCCAGGGCAGGAGACATTTCATAGAATCACAGAATCCTTAAGGCTGGAAGGGACCTCTAGAGATCATCTAGTCCAAGCCCCTGCACACGCAGGGTCACCCAGAGCATGGGCCACAGGCTGTATCCAAGCAGGTTGGGAAGATCTCCAGAGAAGGAGACTCCACAGCCTCTCTGGGCAGCCTGTGCCAGAGCTCTGGCACCCTCATTATCAAGAAATTTTTCCTTAAGTTCCTGTGGAACTTTCGGTGCTTCAGTTTGTGGCCATTTCCTCTAGTTCTATCGCTGTTCACCGCTGAAAAGAGGCCGCCCCCTCCTCCTCACTGCCTCCCTTGAGGTATCTATAGACACTGCTCAGGTCCCCCTCAGCATTCTCTTCTCCAGGCTGGACAGACCCAGCTCCCTCAGCCTTTGCTCATAGGGCAGATGTTCCAGGCCCCTGATCATCCTCATAGCCCTGCGCTGGACTCTCTCCAGCAGCTCCGCATCCCTCTTGTCCTGGGGAGCCCAGAGCTGGACACAGTCTCCACATGTGGCCTCACCAGGGCTGAGTAGAGGGGGACAATCACTTGTCTTGACCTGCTGGAGACACTCTTCTTAATGTACACCAGGATCTCATTGGCCTTCTTGGCCACCAGGGCACCCTGCTGCCTCATGGTCAWCTTGTCATCCACCATGATGCCCAGGTCCCTCTGGACAGAGCTGCTCTCCAGAAGATCACTTCCCAGTCTGTCCTGCTGTCTGGGGTTGTTCTTCCCCAGGTGTGGGACCTTGCACTTGCCCTTGTGGAACTTCATGAGGTTTCTCATCGCTCAGTTGTCCAGTCTGTCCAGGTCCCTCTGGATGGCAGTGCAGTCCTCTGGGGTATCAGCTACTCCTCTTCGTTTGGTATCATCAGCAAACTTGCTGAGGGGACACTTGGTCCATTTATTCAKGTCATTGATGAATAAATTGAACAGGACTGGACCGAGGACTGAGCCCTGGAGGAGCCAAGTTTGGGAGCACAGAAGATGCAGGTAGGAGGGGACTCCCATCTTAGGGCAGGTGCAAGAACATATATGATACATGTAGGGCAGATGTAGTGCATGCATTGGGACCCAGAGGAGACTTTGCATATGGTTTCTAACATGAGGAGAGTCAGATACTTCCACCCGCAGAGGCAAACCCAAAGCCAGGAGCATTCCCTGTTTCGTAGCTGCAGGTGGAGGGTCGTATGTGACCAAGGCAGCATTGGGCAGGGGG